CAGTAGAATCTATGGTGTCAAAGGCTGCGGACAAATCTAAAAGTACCAAAAGAACGCAGTTTCTATTGTCTATTGACCTTAATATATCATCTTGCACTGTGAAACTTACGATATGCACTTTGTAGACTATCGTGAAGGTTGTGTGTGTCAATATGTTCAATCAGTTGTCTGGCTATACATTTTTCAAAAATTTTGGAGATAAAACTCAAGTTTAATATAGGACGGTAATTTTTTAGCACATTTCTATCTAAAGTTGATTTTTTAATAACTGGGACGACATTAGCAACTTTAAAACAATCGGGTACCTTTCTTTCTTGAATACAAGAATTTATGATATCAGTAATCACAGGTAAGAATAAATTAAGGTTTTCCTTTAGTAAAGATGTAGGGAGGGGGTCAAGAGGGCAGGACTTAGAGGCTGATGATTTAATAATATCTGAAACAACAGATTCGCTAACTAAATCCAAATTTTCAATGCACACTAAAGTTGGCGTCTCATATTTGGGCACAAAATTACATGAATTGTTAAATTTATCAAGTTTTTTTCGTATAAGAGTTATTTTATCGGAGAAGAGGTTTGCAAACTCTTCTGCTAGCAGACATTTATCGGTGCAATCAGGGAGGACAAAAGTCGCAGTGGAATGGTCAATCAGTTTATTAACAACACAGAATAGTTCTTTCTGTTTGTTGGCACTATTTTGATTTTTTTCATTGTAGAAGGAAACTTTTGATTGTTCAATTATATTTTTGACTTTGTTTTTCTCTTCTCGGTAAAGGTTTTTATGGATATGAAGGGAGGTCTCACGCCACTTTTTCTCAGCTTTTCTGCGTTTTTGTTTTGCTTCAGCTATTTGATTGTTACTCCACTCATTTTCTGGTCTACCAGTAAATGGTTTAGTGGTTAACGGAACTAGATCGTCAATGATCTTTCTCAGTGTTTTATCATATGAATCAGCTTTTACATTCACATCACACAATTCACAGATGTCGGAAAAGTTCGATGTAACAATTGTTTCACTAAAGGTATCATTGTTTAAAGATTTAAATTTACGAAACGATATTTTTTTCTTATCTTAAGGCGGCTTCTCGGTTTGAATTTTAAAGGTGATAGGAAAATGGTCTGATAGTAGGGTATCTTCCACCAGTACATCATGTATATATATGTATCTCATCTTGGCGTGTAATGACAAAGTCAAGAAGATGACCTCTATTATGGGTCTTTTTGTTGACATGCTGTTGGAGGTTGTAGGTAAGCAGTATTTCCCGAAAGAGATTACTCAGTGGGTCAGAATTGTTTTCGAAGTGAATATTAAAGTCGCCAAGTATCAACAGGTCGCCCTTTGACAATAATTTTGTTTCAAGAAGGGATGTAAATTCCTTAAAAAAGTCGTTATTATTGGAATTTGGGGGCCTATAAACAATTAACAGGTGGAGAGATTTGTTAAGGTTCGATATCAAACAATCAAGGCACTCAAAAGAGTTGAATACACCATTAGACGGCAAAGATATTTTTAAAGTTGATTTGTAGGCAAGGCCAACGCCACCACCCCTAGACGCAGTGGAATGTGTAGAAAACGGTAGCCTTCTGGAAGTATAGCCGAAATGGTCACTGAATCTGTGTTCTGGCTAAGCCATGTTTCAGCAATCGAGCACAGATCTAATTCCTCATCCACAATAAAATCATTTATATCGCTGGTTTTATTCCTAACAGATCTAGCATTAATTAATCCTTCTTTTAAATATTTGCTAGTTTGATATGAAACTGAAGATCTGGATATTGGAACTTTAATTACATGTAGGTTGTTCAGTCCAAGTTGACCTCTTGGCTGGCTGCTCTGTCAGAGGTAAGTACAGGAATACTGTAGACATTCTTTCTTCTGTTAGGTTTCTGCCTTAAAATTTGGGGAACGGATTGTTTAATATACCTATATATATATATTTGTCTCTTTAATTTAATTGGAATTGTCTCTTTAATTTGATATAGGTCAGATTTAGTGTATTTTAAAATGTTCTCACCAGTTACCAACATGGTCAGTGTTGAGAGTTAATCCAATTAATGTTCACTGCACAGTCTATTTTTATTCTGAGTTCTTTTCACAGTTACCTTTCAAGTTTATATTATTGACAAATACACAATAGTAAAATGTTAATTCATCATAAAAACTACCTTAAAAGATGCACCATAAAGTTCCAAATGTTTTAGTTCTAAAATTAATCCAATTAAAATCCTTAAAACAACACTAAATATCAAAAACTTGTAGAGATCTGAGGAGCTGTATACACGCTCGAACTCAACTCATGTTGTCTTAAATAGATCATCACAGAAGCCACCACAGTGCGTTTTGTAATCTCCGTCACATGTCGAAATAAAAAAGATTTTTCTAAATTGCAACTGAATATTAAAACGGCTAACGTCACAAGGAACAATTATTTTTGCAAATGAACTCGGCAAATTGAATATGATCCGTGCCATATTTAAATCCATATAAAACATGCATTATGAATTTATGTAAGAGCCCAATCCGCCTATTGCATGCCTGCATTTTGCCTTTAAATTACAGATATGCACTATAATTTAGACATTTCCCACAAAAAATCAACTTTCAAGACCATCGAATAGCAGAGAATTAAATGGATTAGAACGCCCGCAAGATTAAAACTTTAACGATGAAAGCGATAATAGAGACTTCGTCTTGATTTTCAAGTACTATTGCTAATGCCAGTTTCCGACTATCACGATTCGTGCTACGATTGAAATCGTGGAGTAATCGTGGTAATTCTATAAGGTCTTATCATATATTGAGGTCAGGCGTAGCAATCATGTTGATCGTATCGAAATGTAACCGAACGTATCTGCAAGTATAAAATCGTGGACCTGAAATCCCCCCCCCCCCCAAAAAAAAAACGTTTACAGACGGGCGCACCCGTCATCAGCGTGCGCCGAAGTCGCAGAATTTACACTGTTGGGACCTTACCAGTAACATTTTGAAAATATAACTCCGCAAACACATTTTCCTGCTATTCCAGCAAGTGAAATACAGCAACTTCAACGTTGACCATTATAGTCTACATGTAAATGAGGTGGCTGACCTGAATTCCAAACAATCAACTAATCGTCTAGTCCACTTTATATAAAATTGAAAAAGCTAACCAACTACATGTATTAAAAAGTTAGATATTGATATATTAAAAAATTATCAGCCTGTGTCAAATTTAAATTTTATATCTAAAATTATAGAAAAATGTATTGCCAATCAACTTATAGAATATGTTGATAATAATAACTTACAAGAACCCATTAAAAGTGCTGATAGGAGATTTCAGAGTGTAGAAACAGCATTAACTAAGGTTCATAATGATCTAATGTTATCTTTGGACAATCAACACTGGTTATTTCATATTTTGTTAGACTTATCGACTGCATTTGATACAGTTGACCACTCAATTCTTATTAGTCGTTTAAATGTAGATTTTGGTATAGATGGTTTAGCATTAAAACTTTATAACAAGTTATTTAACTGGTCGACAACAAGAGTGTCAATTAATGATACATTTTCTAGTTAACAATGACATTTTATACAAAGTACATCAGGGTCTGTTTTTGGACCCATTATATTTAAATTAGTTCGAGACCATGGCTTAGAATAGTAGGTATGCAGATGATACACATATTTATTATGCTTTTAAACCATCTATAACAAATGATTTTAATACCCAAAATGGCAAACCAGAATGTCTTCCAAGTTTTTAAAAATTAAACAGTGATAAGGCTGACTATATTCTTATAGGATCAAATAATAATCTAAGCAAAATTTTGGATTGTAGATCTATATCTTTAGTTCAGTTTGTTATTTTACCTATAAACTCTGCAAAAAAGATGGTTATTTTTTAACAAAAACATGAATATGATTAGTCAGATTAATAATGTATGTAAAAGCTGCTATTTTCATATTTATGATATAAGTAAAATTAGAAAATACATTTCACAAGTTGTAAATAAAACACTGGTTCATGCTTTTATAACTTATAGGCTTGATAATGTTAATTCTCTTCTTGCTGGTCTCCCTGTAAACACCTTGATAAACTTCAAAATTGTGCTGCATTAATTTTAAAATACTTTTACTGGTGTATGTTTTAATGGCTCTTCAACTTCTTATATAAAATGGGGGTGGGGGTGGATGGCCGAATAATGGTTAGTATGTGCACGCTGTATCATAAGGTCTGTCATTAGGTCAACTGGTGTGGTTTCGATTCCCTGGTTGTATGTGACAAGGAGTAGGGTCGCCTGTCCAACTTTGTGGGCTTTCTCCGGGTATTCTGGTTTCCTCCCACTGCTAAAGACCCCTACGCGCAAGCGAATTATTGAAATAAAATTGAACATGTTAGTCCCAATATGACTTACTAAAGATAGTTTGACAGGCAATGAAACATACACCCACAGCAGTCAACAACCGTAACCCTCACCCTTTTGTCAGTCATGAAAACATTTACAACACACTAAAATCTGAGTAACAACCCATTAAATAATTATTCGAAACCATTAGAATTTGTTTCGATTGTTTGTCTCATGACCTTAAGCACTGTGTATAAATTTATATAAACTTTAGTCTCTAGCGCTTCCACAAGACTTCTCAAGTATTCAAGGCCCACAACTCTGGCAGTAACTGTCCAAAATCAATAGACTTCTTCATCTCATGACCTTAAACACAGTGTATACATTTAAAGTCAATAGGATATAGTCTTAGTACTAGTAGAGTGTCCACAATATTTTTCAAAGTGACCAAGGGCCATAACACTGGCAGTAATTATCGGAAATCGTTGACTATCAATGAGCTTCTTCATCTCATGGCCTAAAACACTGCCAAGTGTTCTTTTATGTGTACGCCAATGTGTACATGCGACCTCGGTATTTCGTACCAACCGAAAGACTGTCAACATTAAATATGAGGTATATAAAAAAAGAAACCAGTGAGGTATGAATAAACCAGTAAATATGTATATATTGTGACATCAATTTTATATATATATTTCATTATTAGATAACAATCTTTATTTCAAGTTTTACAATGCATAATTTGATAATAGACCTAGATGGAAGCCACCTATCTCAAGCGACATCAGTGTTTACGGTTGATCTTTTTGATAAGGCCAACTTCAAGTTTGGTCGAACTAGCGCTAATCCCCACCCTAACCCTAACCCTGGATCTAGCCCCAATGCTTACCCTAACCCTAACCTACAATCTCACCAACAATAACGAGCCCTAACTTTTTTTCTCATCTCAGCGACCTTGACGAAAATTGAGCTAGCCTTAACAAATAGACTTAGCACTATGTTTACCATTACCTAAGTGAATCTCATGTTTTTTTGTTTTTTTAAATTAAAATTGATAACCCTAAACCATTTTCTTTCATTTCCCAGGCCCTATAACTCAGTCTTGGAATAATTACAGTAATTAAGCTAGAAATGCTAGGAAAGGGGCCAAGTAACTGTAATAATCACAGGTATTTTTTTCTTGGTCCAAATAGAGAATTATTGAAATTTATTTAAAATTCATAGAGATCTATAATCATTTGTTTATTAAATGTTTTCAGGTTTAAAGAATTATCAGATACATTTTGCTATACAGCTGACTGAACTGAAAATGAACTGAGAAAGCCCAGTTGAGCTTTCAAGAAAAGAGCCGGATCCTGAACAATGCCCACAAACGTCTAATCCATCAGAATTACTCACACACAATACTAACAGTTAAACTTTTATTTCAAATTCGTCTGCTGTCTATGCTACTGAACACACATGGAGTTATTATTCTTTCTAGAAGGAATAAAGTGATAAAGTCCATTTTTCATTTACACTCAAGTTGTATGGATTGCCAGTTCTGCCAAAAAATTTAATATTCTTATACAAAAGCATAACTAGTTTGACAGGTATAGATTCGCGTTGTGAATTGCAAGATGCTGAAATGATTTTTCACGATTCTTTTTTTTATGTTTTTTGTCACATCAGTAAGTAACCTGCCACTCTTAATTATCCATGACAATCCACGTCACATATTATCCACAGGTACACAAATACTCTTAAATTGTTTTGGTCCTTATTTTGATCCACATCAATATCGTGATATAAAACAGTTTCTTCGACATCGGCAGGACTAAAAATATCAATTATTTAATTAATTATTAAATGGACGACTGTCTAAATTCAAGCTGTATCCAAGCTTTCCGAGGGTCTACAGAGTTGATTTTAAGCTTGTTATACAAATAAAGGTCTAATTAATAATTTCTATATCACTGAAGCCTATAGAAAGATTTATAGGCATATTTAGCTATTAACTATTGTATCTTTAATTCAATTACATGTAGATGTAGGTAAGTGTTTCATGTATATGTAGTGTACATGTAGGCCTAAATCATTCTGCACACAGAGAACTATCTACTCTACTTCGAGAATAGATCTCTTCCCTAAATGGCCGCCATATCCAAAAATTAGTATAGGGCCTACTGTTTTGTAATGCAGTCCTATCTCAATTCACATCTGATATGAACAAAAAGGCTAATTAGTTCTTTTCAATTTTATTAAACGAAGGCAGAATATATATACTTCTCATAATTCTAGAAATATTCGTGTACTTAGTGTTTTCGACTAAACTTATCAATTTAGGACTTAAAATGTCGATCAACTAGCTTCGGGTCTCTTTACAAGCTGAACTAATTGTAGACAGACAGCATAAGTTTAGTATGGACCTAAATATGAGAATTGTCTAAGGAATATAGTTTTGGATTTGTTATCTATGGAAGACTGTGATCGTCAATTGATGGATTGTGAAAGTTGAATCTCTAAAAGAAATGTCAGTCCAAAATGGTTCTTTTCCGTTCAGTACATGTATATAAATATTAGTTTCATAATTTAAAGATGCATTATGTAAGAGCTAAATCGGCCTTTATTTTGACTTCTAATCTAATGTATTTAAACTATTATTCAGATATTTATTAACAAGCCCATAAATAACTCTCTAGACCATAGGATGGCATAGATTTAAATGGATTAGACTGTCAGTGAGATTTAAAAATTTAACGAAAAATGGATAAACGAGACTTAGTTGCATTTGTCCAGTACAGTTTCTACGATAATAAACAATCTATGCTACATCTTCCAACATTCATAACTTCGCTCAGAATAAATTAATATGAATGAAATTTTCAATATATTCATTTCTCATTATTTATTTATAAACTAATACTGTATAGCAAGAAAGGCCAACTCTTTATCTAATCTTACATAATGCATCTTTAATGAAATTTATGAATTTTGTATGTGTTAACTTAACGAGTGTCTCTTTACCTACAAGTACTCTCTAATGTTTTTGACTCTGAATTTACGACAACAACATTGTTCGCGACACGACTCATCAAGGCCCCAACTTTATCCGAGTCTAATTCTCTCTCCCACATATTTCTGAGGAAGGCTTCACCTGAGCGCATGTCAAGGTTCTGTTGATCTGTATGTAGTACTAAAATAATCATCACGTCCTTATAAGGAGCATTATCACCGTCGCAAATACCGTGAAGAAGAAGTGCTGCCTGCGGAGAAAGATGTTCTAAATTATCTACAACAACAGCTTTATAATTCCCATCCAAATAGTATCGTAATTTTTCATCAAACTGCAATTTTCCACCATCTTGTGAACTCCGATCCAGTTGGCCGCAGTCAATAACAGGAGACAAACCAGTTTTTTCATTTGCGTTATTAAAGCCTTGACTTATCCTACGAGCCAAACAGGAACTAACGTCAATCTTGTTTTGTGGATCCAAATTGATATTTGTAATAAATAAAAGCACTGCTGGATATTCTGGTTCTGTAACATTTAACACATGCTTTCCAGACGCTTTCACAGTCCGCCAAAATCGTTTATCTTGATGCAAAAAAACATTTTTTAAATCATCTACATCATTTCCATATTCTTTAAATCTATCAGATAGAGGAATAGAGGCTGGTTTCTCTTCTCCATACAAAAACGATATACAAGAACCAAATATCACAATAATGACACAGCCGTAACCACATACAGACATTAAATCTACCTTGTTTTCTGCTAATGATACATCTTTTTCTGCTAATGATACATCTTTTTCTGCTAATGATACATCGTTTTCTGATACATCTGCTTCCTTTTTTGGTTTTGTTGATGTCTTCACTTGTTTGGATATAAACTTAATGTTATCAGTCACATCCTCATTAAAAAGGGAAAAGGTCTTCCTAGTCCGCGGAGGTGATCCAGGGACAGTAGATTGATCACTTTCACAGGACTCTGTTGTAACACTGTAGACATTAGGGTTATCGACATCATCATAACTTTTATTTATTGAATCCTGGGAATCCTTAGACTCGTTTTCATTCTCCATAGAATCATTCCCTGTCTCTGTTTCTGTTCGAGCTCCTTTTTTCTGACCCTTGTTTTTCCTAGGCATCTTTCTAAGATAAAAAGAAATAGAATGTATTAAATCAAATTATACCATGTCAAAATCGTTCCATGTTTACCTCAATGGCTAGATCTTATTGTGACATTTCCATCCATTTTATTAAAACTTAAAAATGGTAAGACAATCGTTGTCCCCAAATTACTATGAGCCTTGAAACCATCAGTTTCCTAAAATTACATGTACCATGAGCCCAGGTAAGATAATCAATTTCCCTTATTTACAAACAGAGAAACTACCAGTTTTCTCCAAATTATAAATGGTGAATTCATCAGTTTTCTCCAACTTATAAATGGCAAGACCATCAGTTTTCTCCAACTTATAAATGGCAAGACCATCAGTTTCACCAACTTTTAAATGGTGAAACCATCAGTTTCCCAAATTATAAATGGCGAATCCATCAGTTCCCCAACTTTTAAATGGCGAATCACTACATCACAATATATTTTAAGAAATGACAAGGATTCACTTGAAACTTGAGAAGGTTCAAACATTGATCTAGACCTTTAGGTTATCATGAAGACTTGCTAAAAAAGTTTGTCTAATGTTTGTCTATTATAATTTTATCTTCCAATACATTAGTTATGATATTTGATTTAATTAAAATTGTTTACATATGATGGGAGACATAAAAAGGAAAAAACATATATTAAATGTTTGGGCTGTTCTACCGTCGTGTGTGTTTTTATAGCTACAGATCCGATAGGAGGCTATTCATTTACCCTTGCAGACTCGTTTTTTTCCCCATTCAAGCGTATGCATTCTTGAAAATGAATTTTACAATACCAGAATACTAAATTAAACTATAAAACATCAGCCATGTCTCAATAAGTGTCCATTAACAACATGTAAGTCAAATAGTGATTGTTCGGATCACGGTCTCCATGAAACATTGTTAATAATCAGTATACGTACACTCAATATAGTCAGCATTATTCATATTTCTGCCTTATTAATATTTATTCCAATCAGAAAATCCAAGATTCCTTTGACTAATCCAAGATTCCTTTGACTAATCCAAGATTCCTTTGATTAATCCAAGATTCCTTTGACTAATCCAAGATTCCTTTGATTTATAAAAGATTCTTTTGGCAGAATAAAGTATGGATACAAAAAGATGCATACAAATTTAACAGAAACAGGGATAACACTACCACTACCAGTACTGGTCAGTTGGAAAAGTGATCGAAAATTCACGTAATGTAACCAAAGCTCTATTACGGTGTTTGCAAACTTCGTGGGATGAACACTTGTGAGTTTAAAACACAATTTTTTGTTATTTATTTACACCTGTATCATTAAACAATAAAATTTTATACCTTAACATAAAAAGGAAAACATATTTTCAAAAAATATCAAGAAAAATCAAAACCGCAATGTCGGGGTATGTTATTATAATATCATGGCGAGACCATCAGTTTCTCCCAACTGACTACAAATGGTGAAACCATCAGTCGTCCCCCCCCCACCCACTCAAGAAATGAAGCGACCATAATTAGTTTTCCAATCTTATAAATGATGAAAATATCTGTTTCCTCTAATTTATAAATGTAAATTCGCGAAACCATAAGTTTCCCATGAGACCATCAATAATCAATTTCCCAAATTTTATTTACTACAACAACTTGAAGTGAAATACAGAGACCATCGGTTTCCCTCATTTACAATTTAGACGGGTGACTAATCGATTCTGGTTTGTGATCAGGCGTTTGAGGGGGCCTTTCCGAGATTCTTGTAATAATAATCATTTATTATCAAGTGTCTTTACCGGGTTATTTCAATCTTTCTCCGTCAATTATATCTTCCGTATCGTCCAAGACGCAACATCTAGTTTCACTTTCGTTGCACAGACGCTAACCAGATAAAATTCAAAATTGTTAACTTTTCCGAAACGGAATTGATGAAAACATGCTAATAAGATAATGTTACAAGTACGGAACATAAATAAAAGTATGTTTTACTAGTTGTCATGTATATATATATGATCTAACTTTATTTTTCGTGGGGCCCAAAAGGAAATTCTTGTTCCTGTATTTTCTTTTACACGTAAACGTAAAAGTACGAGTAACCATTGTCGACCGGAGTTGTTCCCCTTGCCAATATGGCATACAATGTCAAAAATAATTATTCTTTCGTCTTTAATTAATTTATTCTGCAATCCCAGTATTTAAAGTAACTTATTTAATAATTTTTCATCAGTTTTCGCTGAGAAATTTACAGATTCTAAGCTACGTTAGCTCTAAAGTAGTTACACTAGTAACGTAATAATGTATCGGCTCTGAATAGCCTTCTAAATTCTAAGGCTATTCAGAGCCGATACATTATTACGTTACTAGAGTAACTAGCTCTAAAGGAGCATATCATCAAGTTCTGAGTTTTCGCATAAACAAACCTTACTTCGTTCTTCAGATAGGGTGATCATGGTTGACTCGACTCGCTTTTACTTAGGGTTAGTTAGATGTAGGATCTTCAATAGGATGCACATCAACCAAGAGTGCCATTTATAGATGAAATTCATTTGTAGGCTTACAATAAAGTTGCCAACAATCTTTAGGCCTATCCGAAATATATACCTTTCAGTCACTGTTAGTGTTAAGGACTTTAGTCATTCGGATTAGACAAACAATAGAGGTCCTGTGTTCACATTGGCATGCTCGTAAAAGAAGCCTTACATTTGGAATTCGATATAAGAGTAGGCCATAGCGCTGCTGTCTGCATGGTAAAATTTGCCACATACAGGACACTGTCATTGTTAATTATTATATCTTATCTTACAGGAACCATTGAGTTCACTAGACACTGTACATAGAGGGACAGAGAAATGGGGTTTAACATCCGCTCGATACAAACTAGGTCCTTTTGGGAACAACATATAGTTCAATAGGTGACCTACTCTTTGTCTCATACAAGTGAATAGAAACCACACCACTTGATTCAATGACAGACTTTATGATCTAAAGCACAACCTTACACCATTTGGACACCCAACGCCCCTAGACACTGTACATCTATTGTAGTGATCTCTTAGAGATAACAGCACACACAGAGAAAAATATATTGAGAATGACGTCAACAGAAGTTTTGGATGATGTAATCATCGAAAACAGCACGTCAAGTGTCAGTATAGACCAATCAAAAGATGGATTAAAACAGAAACTAAAAGTAAAACCTTCAGAGTGTGGGATTTGTGGTAAATTTGTGAAGGGACATTTAACTCGGCACATTAGAACTCATACTGGGGACAAACCATTTATCTGTGAGGTATGTGGTCAGGCGTTTATACGCGGATCCTCACTTAAAGTACATCTGAGAATTCATACGGGTGAAAAACCATATAAATGTGATTTTTGTGAAAATTCCTTCAGTCAGAACGGCATCCTGCAAGCTCATATCAGAGTCCATACTGGAGTGAAACCATATCAGTGTGATATCTGTCACAAACGTTTCATCGAGAAAAGCTTATTAAAAGAACATGTCCGAGGTCACACCGGCGAAACACCTTATGTATGTGAAATATGTGGGAAAAAATTCGGTAAAAATTTTAATTTGCAGAGACACAAGCGAGTTCACACTGGTCAAAAACCTTTCAAATGTAATGTTTGTGATAAATTGTTCAGTCAGCTGGTGAATCTAAACTCGCATATGTTATCACATACAGGTGAAAAACCTCATCACTGTGAATTTTGTTACAAACCTTTTAAACTTTCTGGCCAATTAGTAGAACATCTTAAAAAACATCATTTTAATTTTACGGATAAATAGTAATACATTAAGATCATAATGTGGGGACAAGCCCAGAATGAAGGTTTTTTCACAGGGTTTTTGTTTGATCATGCTGTTGACCGAGAAAGTACCTCAGGATTTTCCAAGGGGATTTCCCTTTGTCAGTGATGCAGGAATGAGGGTCTGGCAAGGAATAGTTTAGTTGATTGGACGGAAAAACAAGATCCCGTGTTCACGTTGGCCAGCAGGTAAAAGAACCCTTGACAGTTGGAGCTTGAAGTAAGAGTAGGCTGTGGCGCTGGTTGGTGCCAAGAAATAGGACATTCAACCCCATTTCATTTCATATTATCAGTTTCTATTGTTATCTTCCTAATATATATATACAATTTTATTGATATTACAGGGAGTTACTGCTGAATTATTGGTTGAGGCAAAAATGATGAAAAACTGAGATCCAGTTTCCCCTGTGTATTTAAAATAATCAAAAGTTGATTAGATATCAGGCTATGGTTTAAAAATCATTTTTGTCCATCAAAAAAGGTCTTCAACTGTTTTGTCTGATCACAAAATATAAACATTTGGTGTTTCTTTTAAATTATAAAATATATTTCTGTTTCATATAATTATTATGTCATGGATATTTTATTATAATTTCAAATGAATCTTGTTATTCCTTTTTCATTAAAACATGCAATATATCAAGCATGCCAAAGATATTGAAAATCCTTTCTTTGTGGAGGATTTAAATGTCATATAAATGATTAATTAAGCATTTAAACACATGACCAGCGCAGAATTAACCCTCTAGAACAGTGATATTGAATGGATTAGAACATTGAAATTTAAAATGGATAATTGAGACTTTATTTATTATCGTAGTAACGGTACTTGAAAATCAAGACTATCATGTCAAAACTTTGCTCATTATAAAGTAATTAGACTGAAACATTTTTCATTATCTATCATTGGACTGTTATATAGCAAGAACTGGCAGCTTTTGATCCAAATCTTACATAATGCATCACTAAAAAAGAGCTGTTTACTAGTTCTTTGACTTGGGTGATATGAAGTATATGATAAGAAAAATAAATTGATTAGCACTTATTGGATGTTTACGATTTCTGTAGGCCATAATTTCTATTTGTATTTCTGTACTTATAGAGAATAGTTTGGGATATCAAGTATTACGGGGTTATCCAAATTACCGGTAAATGCGCTAATTGCTTAGGTCGTCTTTAGTTGTCACGGGGCCTATTTAAACAATGGCACCTTAAATGGATCTACGTCATGATACAGCATTTTAAATTCGCTCTAAAATATTCCAATCACAAATGTCTAATCTATAACAACGCAAGACGATAATTCGGTGATTATGATTATGCCAGTCACATGTTAATTGGACACATACACACTTGTCAACTGGTGGTGTGTATTGTATAGATAATGTATATAGTATGTGTAGTGCCTGTGACGTCACCAGCCAATCAACCGGATTAAGGTTGTAATTGAAAATTTGAAAACCGTTTTTGGCTTTCGGATACTTAAACCTCAATAGCTGAATTAATTTTAATCAGATTGGTTTGAACTTGCCGTAAAATGGATATAGTAACCATTGGCTATAGGTACATTCAATTAAGATTTTTAATCTTATGTGGTCTTTAAATTTGATAACTTTCTGCTAATCAAATTAATATTTGATTCGCACTTACGTCGTTTTTGTTAAGCAAACTGCTATGCGATACCGCTTATCATATTCCCTGAGAAGCAGTCTAGGGGGCAACAGTCAGGACCAGTTTCGAAAATGAACTACAAAATAATAGTAAATGATCACTTATCTCAGATTCTTTCAGGGAACTGAGGTAGGCATGATTTACATATACCTGATTTTAAAGAGTTAATTTACTGTGATGAAAATAGATATTGTAAAGTCCTGAAATAGCTACTTAAAACAGGCATTATGCAAGAGCTAAATCTGCCCATTGCAGGGCTTTCTTTGGGCCTTAAATGATATTTATATTATTAATTAGACATTATTAACATAAGACCATAATCAACTTTTAATCGGCCATTTAATGATTCGATTTAATTTCAAAATGGAGAAGTGAGGCTAAGACTCGAATGACCAGAACAGTGGTTACGATCAATTCACACATCTTGATTGATAAATTCACACATCTTGATTGATAAATTCACTCAAAATAAAGTAATTTGAATAAAATTGTCAATATATTCATTTTGCATTATCTATTTTTGAAATATTATAGCAAGAACAGTTGGGCTCTTTATGTAAATCTTACATAATGCATCTTTAAATTTTGTTCATTTTCAATGTCGAGTAAAATACCATAACTTTTTATCAATGTTCAAATTGATGTTCAAAAAAAAAAAAAAAACCATTTTCAACTTAATTTATTTTCATTATTCATTCTGATATTTAAAAATATTCAAAAGATAATGTACCTGTATTGTGATATGTATATTATTACTTAATTATAACCTGTATGATGTAATTAAAGTAACGATGCTTCATCTGCATTTTTTGCTAAAATATCAAATTTATCACGCCTACTCAGATTGATTATTTAACATTTAATTAAGAGAACAAAATCAAAATATCGATGCAAGATAAACCCCTGGCTTGGATTCAATTGTGTATATGCCTATCAACTCTGTTCGCACACACCACAATGTCAATTCAAACCAACGCAAGATAACCTCCCGGCTTGGATTGAATCATATTTAAAATAGGCCTATCAATTCTGTGACGCAATGTGACTTTAAATATAGATATTGTGATGTGTACATTCTATATTATTTATTAATCACTTGTTAACTGTAATTAAACACTTGGAATGAAATAAACTTATGAAAAACAGATGCGTTTCGTTGAGTATTCTCTCAACATTATCAAGCTAGAGAGAAATGGGGTTTAATGTCCACTAGACACAAACTAGGTCATTTTGTAACTGACATATTGTTCCATTTTATTTCAATAATTATCTGTGGGAGGAAACTGGAGTACCCAGAGAAAACCCATGAGGTTGGACAGGCGACCCTGGTCCTTGTCACATACAAGTGGGGAATTGAAACCTCCCCAAATGACTCAATGGCAGACCTTATGATCTAACGTGCACACGTTAAACCCTTTGGCCACCCAGCTCCGCCAAAATGTGTATTTAGGTCTATGGTCAAACATACTATATACCCGATGCCCTCTCACCTTGGCTATTTCCAGATCACCTGATACCATCACACTATTTTCAGAATTTGTAGAATACTTTTAAGCATTTCATAGACAAACATTGGCAGGTTTATAATGTCAGAGCCCCTGAACCAGTTATATTAGCCTGCCCACAGTGAAACACTGCTTCCTATTTGGTTTGCGTCGATATGGGCCGCCATTTTCAAAAACAGATCCAGGTGCATGAAATAGTTGGAAATTTTATCTGGGTCTGTAGGCCTACATTGATTGTTTCATTTTTCCAAATATTCTGGTTGAAATTAATGCAGTCATGCTTTTTTCAGGGGATGTAAAACAGCATTATGACCGGGTTGAGAATGCCTTGTGTGGGACTATAATTAGACCAACGTTTATCAAATGTTTAATAACTTTTAGTTTTAAACCGTCTCTTTATTTTTTGAACATAAAAAAAAGGCGGGAAATTAGGACACTGTATTTCCATCAAAATGATGGCAGTTTATAGCAATCCTTTTACGAAAATTATTTGAAATATATATTTTCGCGGGTTTTTGAGCTCCCTCTTATTAAAAAAAGACTCCAAATCAAATTAATGCAATCTTGATATATTTGCGACATTAAACGTATCAGTACCTATTTACGGTAGCAAAAGCGGAAGTGTCATGTGGCATACAAGTCACGTGATATTGTTGTGACAGTCCACGTTGTTTGAGTGACAGTATATTGATAGATAGCCCCCTAAGCTGCCGTGATAGGTAGGTTTTATTAACTTACTGTTATAGGGTTATATACAATCAGACTGCCACGTCAATTTGTCGGCTGTTTAGATAATAGAAACATCGTAACATCTTGTTTTGAAATACGGGAATGTAAGTTGCATTGACGGTATCAATAAATTAATCAAATCGATTGATATTCGATCAGATATTTATTGGTTTATTATTATCAGTATTTAAGATTATTATATCATATTGGTTATTTAATTATTAAAGGAGCCAAATTTGCTAACATTTGGGGCCTAGAAATTGACGAAAGTGGGTCGCAACGCATATAATACTGTAATATGAATGTATTATTTTCTGATTTACATTCCATTTCAATGGTTTCCGTTTTTACTCCAATTTCAAATCAGTTGTGTTCGGCGAAATAAGGCAGCAGTTTCAAACGAGTGCAAATTTCTAGCGTCTGGTTATTCTAGTCTACATACGCCAGTTGATTTGGTGCAATGTGTCTAGCCTCGTCCCTCAAGTTTCTTGATACAACTGGGGCTGAAGCGCATTATGGTACACGATTCGTGTACCGATGGTAAAATGTTTATTTTGCCGTAAATATTGGATATCAAAAGCCCATCTTTTTCCGGTAAGATCAAAACATGAATGTTGATTTAATTTGACAAATAAATCGTGTTTTCAATGTTGAAGATTTTGGATGATATTGAGTTAGAGACTTAGCTACTTTAAGGCAATTATTATTGATAACTGATAATACAAGATTTTTGAATAAAATATTAACCAGCAGTAGATATATTATTGATCAATTCAAAGCAATTTTACTCCGCCTCCAGCCAGATACCAGATGGTTAGCCTGCAAATTGATCTGTTTTGTTTTTACTAATTTGGCAACTTATTTTGCTAATTTTTTTTTAAGAAATATGTTTTATTAAATTGACTTTGCATTAAAGCTGTCTTGCAAATTGCGTGTCCAGTCCACTAGGCAAGTAACACTTGTGATTTTTGTGTCTTTTGGCTAAATTTACAGAATGCTTGGTGTTGATGTGGGTAAGCTTACAGCAATGCTTTCCGTGAGAGTAATTTTAAGTTCTTTTAGCTAAATTTGCAGAATGTTTGGGGTTCAGGTAGTTAGCTTACAAACATAACGTTTTCTGTGAGTGCAATATATTTTGCAAACTTTTAGTGTTACATATGTTTGATACATAGAGAATATACAGAATATTCCATGGTTTGTAGTTTCATAGTACATCCCAAAGACAACTCATCCCAATATAAGACAACTCATCCCAACTTTAAAACATGGATCGAGATATAAGACAACTCATCCCAACAAATATAAGTGCTAGTTTTATTTATTTTAATAACGATGTTGAAATTTGGCATAACAGAATGGATCAGAAGGCAAAAATAGGAAACCTCCAATTTTACCTTCTTCTAACATTGTTGTAAACGGAGGCAGCACAGCTACCAACCTAGATAAAAATGGTGCCTGAGGGGAAATTGAGAAGACACCAACAGAAGCAGACCAGATCCACACAGTTCAACCTATTCCAACTGTGGTATTTATTTGTAATCGTCATAACTTGGTCTGAGTGGTCTTATATCTCGACCCATGTATTAAACCAAACAAAACTATTTTGGAATGAGTGTTTTTTTTTAAAGTTGAGATGAGATGAGTTGTCTTCTAACTTGGGATGAGTTGTCTTATATTGGGATGAGTTGTCTTGGGATGAGTTGTCTTTTGGATGAGTTGTCAGGTATTCATGAAAGCCCATCCGGTATGAGCGTCAAATAGAGCGCTAGTATCATGGCACACATGAAATGACAAGGCCTAAATGTAAATCTTTGGGTTTATAGTTTCTGATGAGAAAATAGTTTGGCTGTTAAAGGAGATAACCTTTTTGATTTTCATTTAGGTCAAAATGAAGTGAATTATAATCAGTTTTGAAAGATTAACCTAAATTGGTTTGTTTTTCTAATTTTAGTTTGGCTTTCTAAAATCGTCGATGGTTCAACACGTCACGGATTATATCACCACATTGGTTTTATCTTATTGACTGCAAATTTGACCAAAGACAACTTACATGTATCTTCTATCGGAGCCAAATTCAACGTTGTTTCTATCTTTTATCGGATCCACAGTGGCTAAGTGGGTAAGCTGCTGGCTCGCTAGCCTGGAGATCGTGTGTTTGAAAAAGTTCATCTGGTTTTTCTGACATGGTTTTCCCTTGTCAGTGGAGCAGGATGCAGGGCCTGACAAGGACAGCTGTCTAGTCATTTGGATGGGATGAAAACCAGGCCCCCTGTATAGATTGGCGTGTACGTAAAAGATTCCTTGGCAGTTGGAATTTGATATAAAAGTAAATCATAGTGCTGCTGCCCAGGCAAAATTTCACTCATAGCACATTGTATGGCGAATGCCCGTATTCATTAGCCCAGTATAGGAGCAGAACAGTAGGACTTTAGACCCCATTTCATTTCATTTCACCTACAAGCACCCAAATCGGATTTTATTACAACTATATGTATTCATGTGAAAATCATTTACAGGATCGAGACTGTGAAACACAGTGGATGCTCACAACTGACCCCCGGATCCATTCACTTGATTTGATATTTGTTGTTTATTTCTTGCAATGTCTGTGTAGTTTGTCTTGTCCGCAGGTTTGTCTTGTTGGTTTGGTTTAGCTACACAGTTACCATTACCCCAGCCCTGCTTACACTTATTATTACAATTTTATTATCATTTAATTTGTAACCAAGTTATGTTCGGCAAAATTGAATGGCCGTCTTTGGGGTCTAGTTATTCCAGTCTACATAGGTAGTATTCTCTCTTGTTGGGTATGTTTACCCGCATTCATCAAGTCACTTCATTACAAATGGCACTCGAAAGCAATCGCGTGCCAGATTTTAACTATCAGAAGTCCATCTATTCATGGTAATGTTGAAGATTGTGGATCATATTAAGTATAAGACTTACCTCCTTGAAAACAATTTGAAAACATTTAAGCATGAATTAATTCGCAAACAAATGAAATATTGTCCAAAATATTAGAAACTCTAAGCATCCAAAAATATATCATACAGAAGTTTAATTTGATATTTGGGGAGTTGGTTAGCCGAATGGTTAACGTGTGTGTGTTGGATCAGAAGGTCTGTTATTGAGTTAAGTGGCATGCTTTTCGATTCACGAAAGGAGTAGAGTCGCCTGTCCAACCTCGTTGGTTTTCTCCGGTTCCCTTCCACTTCTAAAGATCCCTATGCTCAAGCGAATCATTGAAATAAATTGAACCATATGTTAGTGTCGACATTACCTAGTTTGTGTCAAGTGGACGATAAACCCCATTTCTCTCTTTTTATTTGGGTATTTAAAGATGTATTATGTAAGATTTAGATAAAGAGTTAGTCATTCTCGCTATAATAGTTATCCCAAAAATGAAAATACAGATTATCGACTTTAAATATATAATAAATTCCATACAAAAGTTTAATTTGATATTTAAGTATTACTAATATAAATCAAAGTCTGCAGCTGTCGACGTCCCACTGTTAGGTAATAGATACAAATAGGTGGAAGGTAATAGTGTGAAATATTGTAGCGAATCAATATAAATGGTTATTATTCTAATAAAGTAGATGACATGTGTTACCGGTATATTATTTCTCCACTCTATTTCTGTATAGATGACCAGGTTCTGAAATTGGATTTTAATTAAATGGGTCTAAAAGCATGTATTAATGTAATATGAGTGTATATATAAATAGTGATTTATATTAAAAAAAAAAAAAAAGAAAAAGAAATTATTGTGTAAATGACCAGACCAGATTTTGAAATTGGTTTTTAATTAAATTATTTAGTGTGAAAAGCTAATCATATTATATAGATGTTGAATTAAATATACTCATTGTATATATATGTTTGTATCCATCTTGATTATTTCGTGA